AATAGGAACATAATTCTAGAAAAAAGATTCCTTAGATATGAACACAATTCCAGAGTTATGACTCTATAACAAATAGCTGATATTCTACTGGTCCAGTTTTAGAGAAGCCATGTAAGAAATCCATAAATCTGTACCACATCAAAATCCATACCGAGATCAAAATTCTGTAGATCATTACCAAATCCCTTTGCAAAGCTTTTTTTTTTTTTAGTATTATTCACATTTTTCAGATTCAATCCAAGAGAGCATCTCCTGAATACAGGAAACCCTCAATCCCTAAACTTCTGGTTCTCTAAAAGCAAAGAAATCATCAAAGCCCCCAGTGGGCAGCTCAGCAACATTTCTCTGGCCCCCCCCAACACACACACCCCCCTTCTTTCCATTAACTCACAGCCAAAAGGGTTTTGTCCAACTTGAATTGGGGAATCCACCATAGATGGCATAAACTTTCAATCCCACCAATCCATGAGCAGGGAGGCTGTCTTCCAAAGTTACGGTACCATTTTAAAATCCAAAATTAGGAAATGGGGATAAATATGCATCCATGACAAAATATTGTAAATTGGAGGATCTGGGAAAGTCTAGAGCCATGGTTACAGGAAGTCAGCACCTGAAATCAATGCCATCTTTAGCTACACATTGCTCAAGAGCCAGCACTATTTCTTCACGTGGCCAGTATTTGCTGTCCTTCCATCCCTGAGAATGCAGAGAACCAGAAAGCTAGCGTCATGATGAGGAACCTGGCACCAGAGCGACCAGCCGAGAAGAGCAGTTGTGTTTTCCAGCCTCTCCCACCGCAGCCCTGCTCAGAAGACCTGGAATCTTCTCTAGCTCTTACCAGGTTCATCCCTCAAGGGACTGGACCCCATTTCCTGCCCTCCTAGCATGGGACCGTGATCCTGCTTTAAACCACATGGACTGACCATCTGAAGTAGCAAGGTTGGGGCTACCCGTCTGGCCCCTTGTCCTGTCCACCTGGAGACTCTTGTACTTAGTCCAGAAGATCACAACTGCTGTTAGCTTGTACCAGCCCTCACCAGGAGGTCTCCAGGCTCTTGTAGATACCATGGTAAGGGTTGCCAGCAGCCAACTAAAGGCATTGCCTCTAGTGAGTGAATTGGCTGACCTTGTCTAACCAAATGTCTTTCCAAATGTCCAGACATGGAAGTCCCAGAAAGCTTCCTGGTAAGCCAGTGCTAAATATATGTCCCCATATTCCAAACTGAGAGTAGTTAAGAAGATTGCCCGTATCAGTAGCTGAGGACTAGTGAAACTCATGTAAACTAGGACAGAGGGGCATACATCACAGTCACTGCAAGTGAAACTCATGTAAACTAGGACAGAGGGGCATACATCACAGTCACTGCAAGACTTAGACTTAATGAAAAACAGGATACTATAATGAAAGAAAGATTTGGAACCAAATGGAGCCAGAATCCTGGCTCAGGTATTTTCTGCATAATTGTACATGATTAACCAGTTTGATTCTCAGTTTTCTTATCTCTAAAATAGGGCTAATGACTGCATTTGCTAGCTATTGTTGCACTACGAATACCTCCAAACCCTAAAGCAATAAACATTATCTCACAGATTTTGTGGGTCAGGAATGCAGGCGTGGCGCCCCTGGGGACCTCTGATTTATGGTCTCTCTGATGTTGCCGTGAAGACGTTAGCTGGGCCTGGGGACTCATCTGAAGGCTCAGCTTGGGGAGAATTGCTTCCAGGTTCACTCATCTGGTTGGCAGGACTCGGTTCCTCTTGAGCTGACGGACTGAGGGCAACTCAGGACTGAGGCCTTCCTCAGTCTCTTGCCACAAGGCAGCTCGCATCATGTCAGTTGGCTTCTCTCAGAGCTGGCAAGCTAAAAAGCAAGAAAGGGCTCCCAAGACAGAAAACCAGACTTTTAATAACCTAATTTCAAAGTTTCAGCCTTGCTCTTCTGCCACATTCCATTCATTAGAAATGAGTCCCTAAAAGGGTGCCTGGGTGGCTTAGTCCGTTGGGCATCTAACCCTTGATTTCGGCTCAGATCATTATGTCAGGGTCGTGGGTTCGCCCCCCACCCCCACCATGGGGAGTCTGCTTGTCCCTCTCTCTCTGACCCTCCCTCTGCTCCTCCTCTCTCAAATAAATGGATAGATCAAACCTTTTTTTTAAAAAAGATTTTATTTATTTATTTGAGAGAATGAGATAGAGAGAGAGCATGAGAGGGGGTAGGGTCAGAGGGAGAAGCAGACTCCCCGCCGAGCAGGGAGCCCGATGGCGGGACCCGATCCCGGGACTCCAGGATCATGACCTGAGCCGAAGGCAGTCGCCCAACCAACTGAGCCACCCAGGCACCCGGATAGATCAAATCTTAAAAAAAAAAAAATTTGAGTCTGTAAATCCAGACCACACTCAAAGGGAGATAGTTACACAAGGGTGTGGATACCAGGGGGCAGGGACCAATGGGTGTCATCTTAGAGGCTGCCTACCACTAGGCCTTCGATGTAAAGGGGAAAAATATATGGAAAGCACCCTGTGTTTAGTAGGAGTCTAATAAGTAATAAATATTAGTGAACTTCTGGCAAACAATTCTTGTTTAAAAGCCACAAATTTGTACCTCTCAAAGAAGGAGCCATGATAAATTATTAGATAAGAATCATTTTTATCTAAAGACTTGATCACTGAGATAATTGTGCTTAATTGTATCTCAGACTAAGTTTCAGGTAGTGGAACAGAGATTTCTGAAATGTTTACCTAAGCTTAGGAGAACGAGAAAAATCATAGGGTAAGAGCAGGTGTTCCTAGAGGATAGGAGAGCAAAATCCCTATAGAGATTAGTCATTTTGAAGGCAATACTTCATAATGACATTTATTTGTAACTGTAGTATTAGTGAAAATAATCAGGTAGGTAAGTGTTGAGACCAGAGGCTGTAGCACTTGTATTTTGGTGGAAGAATATCAAAAAGACTTAGCTTGTGATCTCACAAGAAATGTTTGTTAATGAGTCACCTAGGTGGCTCAGTCCAACTCTTGATTTTGGCTCAGGTCACGATCTCAGGGTTGTGAGATGGAGCCTTGAGTCAGGCTCTGCACTCAGCATGGAGCATGCTTGAGATTCTCTCTCTCCCTCTCCCTCGGCCCCTCCACTTGTTTGAGGGCTCTCAAAATAAAGTTGTTGTTTTTTTAAAGAAATGTTCATTAAGAGTTGTTGAATAGCCCATTTCTCTCCCCTCTTAAAAATAACTCAGATTAAAATGTTCAGCGCTCATGATCTAACAGGGCAATGTTTTTTAGTATATTTAGATAAAATTCAGTAATTTTTAAAAACATGAATTCGAGGGGCACCTGGGTGGCTCAGTCGGTTGGGCATTTGACTCTTGATTTTGGCTCAGGTCATGATCTCAGGGTCCTGGGATCAAGCCTCAAGTAAGGAAGGAGAGTCTGCTTAAGGATTCTCTCGCTCTCTCTTTCTGCCCCACACCCTACTCCCACCACATACACTCTCTCTAAAATAAATAAATCTTAAAAAAAATGAATTCAAAGATCTCAAAAATCCAATCCTTTACAACTTACTTGAAATAGTTTTATCATAGGGTTCCCCATGAGACTAGTAAGTCCATCCAATGTACTGAGTCTCTTATTTTCCTCTGACTCTTCTTCAAAGGAGTCATTTGGTGATTATGGTTACATAAAAAATAATAAATTTCTCTACAAGTAGATACTGAGTACATTTGAATATGCCAACTGGGAATTAAAAACAAAAGCAAAAACAAAACCAACCAAACAAAAACCTTCAACGAGTGTGAGTTTTCCAAGATAAAAAAGCAGCATTCACAAGAGTTCAAGAATCTCTTGTAATGAATCAGGGGACAGTTTTCTGTATCTGCTGAAATGTTAGTGTACTCCTTGTTAAGGTCCTGACTTTCCCTGTCAGTGAGTTCAGACTTCTTGATTTCACTTCCCATGTGCCAACAGATGCTGTATTTCAAGCTGGAACAAAGCTTTCCCTTCAGAGCAGTGCACCGAATGGAGGGTTTACTCTATTCCCTCATTCTCTGCGCATCTGTTCCTCCTTGGTCCTCTTTCCATGTCAGTTAGCCCTTATCTTCCCCCTCCTTCTTTTCTATCTGCTCTTCTCACTTTCTCTTCAAACACTTCTTACTCGTTTACCTCAATGTCTTTGTTTTTTCCTTTTTTCTCTTCACTCCCCACATATGCTCACCAGCTGTCCTACTTTCTGGTGCACACTCCTTTTCGCTCATTTATTATTCACTATTGAGTACTCACTATTGAATCCTCTTTTCTTTTTTTTTTTAAAGATTTTATTTATTTATTTGACAGAGAGAGACAGTGAGAGAGGGAACACAAGCAGGGGGAGTGGGAGAGGGAGAAGCAGGCCTCCCACCGAGCAGGGAGCCCGATGCGGCTCGATTCCAAGACCCTGGGATCATGACCTGAGCCGAAGGCAGACGTTTAATGACTGAGCCACCCAGGTGCCCCTGAATCCTCTTTTCTTGTAACTGGTCCTACTCTCAGCTAGCCAACATCAGTGTTCACAGTCTGTACTGAAATGAGCATGTCAGTGTGTGTGTGTGTGTGTTTGTGTGTGTGTGTTGGAGAAAGGAAAGCGGAGAAAATATTCAGTGTTTCTCCCTCTTCAATAATTTGAGCATCAGCTGTTAAGAAGGATGCCTCTGCCCACCATCCTGTTCCCAGTCTTTATTCTTTTTAAATGGCATTATTGGTGCGCCTGGGTGGCTCAGTTGTTGAGCATCTGCCTTCGGCTCAGGTTATGATCCCAGGGTCCTGGGATCGAGCCCCGCATCGGGCTCCCTGCTCAGCGGGAAGCCTGCTTCTTCCTGTCCCACTCCCCCTGCTTGTGTTCCCTCTCTCGCTGTATCTCTCTCTGTCAAATAAATAAAATCTTAAAAAAAATTTTTTTTTAATGGCATTATTTAGTTTACTGAACAGGAGATAAAGACAGTACATAGAGTGTGTTGGGGCACTTAGTAAAATAAATTGGAATGAGAGAAAGGAAAACACTACTTATGCCCCTGGAGACAAGTCACCAGGTTAAAGTGAAGAAGCCAGGCAAGAAAGATAAAAGGACGAGCTGAATTAGACCAGGCACAACTCAGAACAGACAAACTGTCACATTTTAGTCACTAATCCAGGAGGACTGATGAACTTAAAACCCCTCAACCAAGAAACACCCCACGTGTCATGGTTGCACACGTTAGTGCCTGGAGGAAGTACATTTTAAACAAGGAGTCGTTTTCCATCTCAACATTTTAATCATTTTATCAAAACAATCTGAACATGCATACATACTTGATTTGTTATAAGAATGTGTAGCATAAAAGTCCCTGAGACACATCCAAAAAGGACTTGAAATGTATTCAGTGCAATTATTCACCATACTGATTACCAAGAACTGGGCTCCCTTCCCTCATATCTAAGGCATGTGACACTTTAATATATGTGTGTGTGTGTGTGTCCATAAATATATATATATGCATGTTTAACGCTAAATCAGTCTCTCTGCTGCCTAGTTTTCTGCCAGTTTACTGCTGCTGGGTAGCAAGTCATTTCCAGACTGTAAGGAAGGCACACGGGGAGGTGACTCAGTTCCTCAGCCCTGGGGTGCCAGTTGGCATAATGATGGCGAGGGAAACGAGAAGGTCCCAAAAAAAGACTTCGTCCAACTCCCTCATTTTGCAGTTCGAGTGACAGAGGCTCAAAGGGGTTGTGACTTGTGACAAGCCCAACTGGTTCTGCCACGACGACCATAACCTCAGGCAGGTCTGGACCCCTTCCTCTGTAAAACGGACGGGGATAATCACAGCTAACATCTTCCAGGTGCTTCCTCTGTGCCAGACACTGCACTAAGGACTGGAAGTGTGATCGAATTCTCCCAACACCTCCAGAAACTAAGATGATTACCTTCAGTTAGAGATGGGAATATCAAAACACAGAAGGCTTAGAGGACGTACCCAAAGTAAGACAACTAGGAAATGTTGCAAAGCTGATCTAGGAACCCAGGAATATCTGCCTCCAAAATTCTTCGATTCCAATTCTTAGATCCCTTCTAAGAAATACCCATCAGGTAGGTTCTCAGATTCCTTAGAAGTCTAAAAGTCTAGCACAGCGTTGACAAACTACGGCCAAATCCAGGCACCCCATCTGTTTATGTCTTGTCAAAGGCTGCTTTGCGCTCCATCAGCAGAGGTTAGTAGCCGCAGAGACTGGATGGCCTGCAGAGCCTGAAATATTTACTCTGGCCCTTTACAGAGTTTGCTCGTCCTGTTCTAGAACTTTGAAAATTTGGAGTATACTGTAACTGTGTAGCACTTCACCATGTACAAAGCACTTTGGGCCACATAATCACATTTAATCCTCATTTTGCCGGGGCATTCATGCATTATAAAGGAGGAAGCTAAAACTCAGAGAGTTTCAGTAACTTGCCTAATCAGGATCACAGGGGCAGAAAGTGGCAGAACCACATACCCAGGTTCTGACCCCAAACTGCAAACTCTCTCCATGAGGCCACACTGCCTCCTCTACCTTACTGCCAGGGAAGGGCTTAGAAGCTGGAAAGGAGTGTGAATAGTGAAAGCAAGTCAGCCTGTCTTCCCGATCCCAATGGCATTCCGGGTGTGCTCGGGTCATTAGTCATCAAGTGCCAAAAATATGAAATTTGTAATAAATTTGAAAGAAACGTTTATGCCTTAAAGGGAGGGCATGACAATCATAGAAAAGACATTTTTAAGTATATATGATTCTTTTATGAATGGATATGAATTTTAACCTACTCAATTTAGAATATGAAAAACATAAAATGAGCAATTGCTATATTTCTCTTACTCTCTGACGAGATCAGCCGAAAAAAAATATTCTGCTGGTTCTATACCCAAAATTTGCACATGAATAAAAATGCAAATATACCTTCTTTATGCTAAATATTTAATAAGTGTGGTTAGTTTTAAAGACTTACCACTAAGAAGAGCACCAGTAAAATAGTTACTCCTGTAACTATAACTCACTTTTTTTTTTTCAAAGAAAGCCAGACGCTTCCTCCTAGTGTGCAAATTCAAGTTCAATCTAAATAACAATGTGATTCTTGAAATAATACAGTTTAGCTTTAGGGATATATTTGAAACACAGAATATGAGGCCCCTTTTTGTTTCAGATATATCCTGAAATATATGTTGAGATTTAATTTTAGACATACAAATGGATATGGAGCAGCCTGAAATCCCCACAAAAAAAGGAGGAAAAAATTTCTTTTTTGCCAACTGACTGCTGTATGTTAGGCACCTTTATTTTACTTCCCCTAATGCTCACAATGAACTGTGAAGTATTGTCCGCCTTCATTTTTCAGATAAGGAATCTGAGGCTCAAAGTTATTACTAATTTGCAGAGGTCACACTAGCTGGAATTAAATCTAAGCCAGATTACCTCCAAAGTCCACTCTCCCACTGCCTCATGTAGATTCCCAACGACACCAAGATCATTGGCCAATACCTCATAAATACTCATTTTAAGAATAGAATTTTTCTGGGCACCTGGATGGCTCAGTCAGTTAAGTGTTTGACTTCAGCTCAGGTCATGATCTGAGTCAGCTTCTCCCTCTGCCCCTCCCCCCTGCTAGAGCGCACTCTCTCTCTCTCTCTCAAATAGAAAAATAAAATCTTTTTTAAAAAAGAATAGAATTTTAACTTTTTCTTTATTGGCTGGCTGATACTTTGTAATTCCATCCACACTATAGTATTTAAATAAGGAAATTTTATCCATGGGCTTTAATTTCTCCTTTTAAGGAAAAGAAAGAATTGAAGAAAGAATTGGGTTTTAGTGAGCTTTTCAAGTGAGTCTGCAACAAATGCACAGAAAGAAAACTTACTTTATGATTCAGCTAATTGTCCTAATCAAGTCCATAGTTACTGTTTACAGCAGAACTTCATATAAAACTAATTAATCTCGGATCGTACCCACAATAGTCACTGAGGGTCCTTATTATAATAAATCGAGGATTTCTTTATATTGTATCTATATTAGATGATGGGTATTAGCTGAACCTATTGCAATAATCATTTCACATTCTATGTAAACCAACCATCATGCTCTATGCCTTAAACTTAATACAGTGACATGTGCTAATTATTTCTCAATAAAACTGGAAAAAAATAATCAAATCAAGGAGAAAAAGAAATGATTGTTTGAGGCTGTAAATCAACTGGCTTTCTAATAACTGACCTATGGCCTATATTACATTAAAGAATGTCACTTTAAACAAATAGATGCTGCCAACTGATGTATCAAAGTTAATTATTTACTTGGTGGCGGTGGCAGATTCGAGGAGCCTTAAAGGAAAGGACCCTCCTTGCCTTACACATTTGTGTGTCTTTCCTGGTACCTGCAGCCCAGTGTTTGGCACAGAGTAGGCGCGCGGTGACACCTACTAAGTAAGCTATTCATTCAACAACTTTTCAAGGCAATGCATATATTTTCAAAGTTGGCCCCATGACACAGTCTCAAGGTCTCTAGGCATATGAGGATGTACTGTACTGTACTACTATGCAGACCAGGAGGGGAACCTGCTGGCCCCAAGGAAAGTTGCAGATTTAGGTTTTAACAAAAGCCAAAGTTCACTGCAGGCACTAATTTAGTTTCATTTCCCAGCAACTAAACATCGTACTAAAAACTGAGCCGGGCAGGGGCGGGGGGGGGGGGGGGGGGACGACAAAAAACTGCCATTAACAGACACCATGAAACTTTTTTCCTCTTCCATGATTCCATAATGCGGTACAATCTCGTTCCTTGTTCTGCAGACGGGTAATGCCAGCACCCCTGGAGGACAGACATTCCTGCTGAAATTTCAGGGCCAGTAAAAAAGACAACAAATTAATTTTGTGGAGAGCGACACCGTGGCTTCCTTCTCCTCTGTTTGTAAACACAGGCTGGTTTTCTGGAAAGAGGGAAGAGGTTGCTTCCACTTTATTTTCACATCTGTAATTTTAATGCGCTTTTAAAAAATTTTAGGTTATAGAAAAACAGACACAGAGGAAATAAGTTAGGAGACGATTATTCACATTGCAAAGGGATTCTCCATAGGGCTGCATTAAATGCTGAATTCTCCTAAAGCAGTGAATTTAAGACTTGATTTAAAAGCAGCTTTCCAAACTACACTTGTAAAAGTGAGGTATACCTATAGAGTCCCCTGAACTCTCCTTCAAGGACAACCTACCAGCTTCTTTGCACTCATAGGGCCAGGGAACAAAAAGGACTTGTTAAGTAACAGTCAGCGGATTCTTGGACCACCCTCCTCATCTTCCTTAGGAGATGAGGCTTTTCAAAATTCAGCCCAGACAGAGAAAGACCCACTTGTGGCCCTAGTCCTGTCACTATTCTGCAACAAGTCTCCTAAAACCAGGGGCTTGCTGCGCATCGGCCCAGTGAAACGGGCGCCAAGGAGCAGTGTGTGTGGATTCGGATTCAGCGCAGACCACAAATATGGCCTGTGGCCAATGAGGAAGGTCAGAGCGACTGACTCAAAGGCTTCTGGTAGGTAGGCTGTTTCTTCCCCTCTGCACAGGTTACAAGGTGAGGAAGGGCCCCCTTCTTCCCAGGTGAACACTGATGTCCATCTACAGCACACAGAGCCCAACTGCTATTTGTGCAAAAAACCCATGAGAACCGGGAATCCTTCCCACCCCGTCTTTGTGCTGAGTAATATCGATTGGTAAATCACCATTTCCCCCTAGAGTACAAATGGGTGTTTGGAAAACTCCGTCCCTTGATTGAGGAGTCCAGGAGATGCACAGCTGAGGCTCCAAGAGCTGACGATTTGACCTCCCTGGGTTACACCCAGGCGAGAGTGGCTTCACCGCTCAAACCAGCGAGCCAAGTTGCGTACGCTCTTGGGCCGGTCCTCGGCGGTCTGCACAGCCTGGCAGACCCGGCACCAGGGCTCGTCCCAGAAGGAGGTGATGTGCACCGCGTAGCTCCTGCGCCAGTTGAAGTAGCGACGGTAGACTGCCGGGTTTCGGTCGAGGAAGAGCAGGTAGGCGGCCAGGGAGGAGGCACTAGGGAAGTCATCCACGTGGATGAAGGCACCGCGGGGCACGAAGCGCTCATAATTGGCACGGTCGGGGCCCAGCACCACCGGCACGGCCCCGGCCAGCAACGCGTTGCGCCAAAGCTTCTCAGTGATGTAATCCAGGTGCTGCGAGTTCTCGAAGGCCAGGTAGAACTTGTAGCGGGCCACTGTGTGCAGGAGGCCAATGTCGGGCACCGACCGCCCCAGCCCGCTCCTGCCGAACACGTCCACCGCCAAGTGCTGGCTCAGCTGGCGGTAATAGCGCACCCGGGCCTGGCGCTCGTCCCAGTTGCTCACCACCCAGGCCACCAGCCCCCGCTTCCGGGCGAGCGGCGGGGCCAGGCCCAGCGGCGGGTCGCTGGGATGGGTCCTGGGGTAGAGGTAGCCGTAAGGCACGAACACGTCCGAGTCGGCCCGGTAGGAGAGGGTCCAGTTGAAGAGGTTACCTGCCAGGCTTCGCAAGCCCGGCGAGTGGGAGGGCGACTCGAAGTTCATCCACACCCAGCGCTGGCCCGGGGGCCTGAGGCCCGAGGTGGCCAGGGCTTCGGCCGCCGCCGCCCCCTCGTCGTCCAACACCTGCAACTCCAGCCCCTCGGCCCCGCGCACCTGGACGCCCCAGGGCGGGGGCCAGTCGGGGGCGCCCTTCACGAGGTCCCGGTGGTGGAAGAGCACCGCCTGGGCCTCCGCATAGGCCGCCCGGTCGGTGAGCAGGCGGCAGCCGCTGATGTTGAAGCGCAGCCAGCAGTCCGGCGGCCGCCTCGCGCCGCTGTCGCGCCCCGTGAAGGGTTCCCACCACAGCAGCACGCCCACCGGCCGCCGCGGGCCGAAGGACGGCCAGGGCAGCGGCGGCAGCTGCCTCCAGCAGGAGTAGGCGGCCAGAGCGGTGCACAGCAGGCCGGCAGCCGCCAGCGCCGGGGCGCTCCACGGAAGCCCCCGGCATCCGCGCCGCCCGAAGCGCCGGCCGCCCGCCGGGCCCCACAGCGCCCCCATGGCGCGCGCAGGCACCGCCGCCGCCTCTCGCCGCGCGTCCGCAGGCGTGGAGCCGCGGAGCCCGCTCTCATGCTGCCGCTGCGGCTCTAGCCGTCGTTGCCGCTCGCCGCTGGCCCTGGGGCGGGAGAGGGCGGTCCCGGAATCCCGAGGCTCGCGGGTCTGCCTCTCCTCCCCGCGAGTCCCCGCAGGGCGCGCCGCCCGGGCGAGGTGAGCCGGCCGGGCAGCCCAGCCCGGCGCCGGCCCGTCCCTCCCCTCCACCGTGCCCCCAGCCCGACCCGCGCGGCCGCCCCGGGCGTTTCCGCCCGCGCCTCCGCCCGCCCCCACCCGGCCCAGGGCTCCCGGACTCGGCGGCCGCGCGGCCCGGGCCCCCGCACCCGCTCCTCGGGATCCCGCCGCAGGGGGGTCTCGGGCCTTTCTGCGCGCGCTCAGCGCCCTGGCCTTGGGCCCGGGCCTGCCCGCGGCTCCCTCCCAGCTGCGCCCCGGCGTTCCGTCGCGGTGGCCTGCACCCGCGCCTGGCCCAGGGAGGACCCGGCTCGCCGCAGCGCGCGTGCACAGGGCGCTGGAGCAGGCGCGGGCTCCTAGGGAAGGCGGGCCCGGGGTGCCGAGTCCCCGGGAGGGGGACGGAAGATCGGGTCCTCTTCCTTCCTCACCCGCCCTGCTGTGGCCGGCGACGCCTGCCGGAGGGAGGGAGCCCGAGAGGCCGCGGGAACGCGTGGGCTGCGGCGCGGCCACCGCGTCGGTGACCGTGACCTCGTGACCCGCCGAGACTGGCCAGCGGCGCGACGCACAGAGAGGTCGTGCATTTTGTGAAGCCAAGTTTCCGGGGTGGTTATTAGTTAAACCGTACTGTCACAGGAACGTGTTCTCTGCCTACCTCCCCAGCAGAGGATCGGAGGCATAGAACATTTTCTGAGCAACTGAAACATTCTTTTCCATCCCTCCGCCTCTAAATACTTCTGACTGCCGGCCGGTAGATTCTTTGTACGGGGCTAGGAGGACTCACAAACCAAAGATAAATATAGGGCCCTTGTGGCCTTTGTGCTCAAGGAACTTCCTGCCTGTTCAGTGAGATGAATGAATGAACAGCACTGTTCATTTGACTAAGCACGGAAGAAACAACTGAATTTCTGTACTCAAGATCATGCAAAACACTCTCGACTATACGATGATGGCTGAGATAAGTACTACAGCACCCAAGTTTAGGATGAAAAAATAAGTATCTCACTGCCGCTTCCCGTGTGAAGGCATCTACTTCTACAGTCGCTTGAGCAATTTTTTCCCCGACACCTTGAATTTGAATTTCTGGGTTTAGGCCTTCACTTACGTTATTAAACTCTTACTCAGTGAAGTACGAATAGGCCATAGGTGGGCTACTGACCTAAGAAGAGGAGGCAGCTTTGAGAGAATTTTTAGTAGAACACAGCTGTGCACCGTGGTCCGCCAGCCCAGTGCCATATTAAGTTACAGAATGTTAGAGGAGAAATAGATTTGCTGGGAATGGGGCCAACCTGTCAGGTGTTTTTGATGTTACGCATACAGAAAATAAACCTGGATTTCCCATTAGAATTTCCTGGGAAGAACTTTCCCATTAAAAATCAAGTACAGATTGTAGGGGCGCCTGGGTGACACACCTGGTTTGAGCTCAGGTCCTTGATCTCAGGGTAGTGATCTCAGGGGCTTGAGATCCAGCCCAGAATAGGGCTCGGCGGGGAGTATGCTTAAGACTGTCTCTCCCTCTGCCTCTCTACCCCCCTCCCTCTGCCTCTCTACCCCCCTCTCAAATAAATAATAAACCTTTTAAAAAAATCAAGTACAGACTGTAAAAGCTTCTATAAAGATGGTTTCATGTGGCATGCCTCCCGTTTTGGAGCTGGACAGCATTAGGCACCCTGACGGTGCCCATCAACCTAGTGACACTTTCTCCTACACACTAAAACCTGTTATGTTTGTCTTTTCTTGTTTTTCTTTTCATTTCACACAATCATTTTCAAGCTACTTAAGCCAATTGTCATTGACATTAGGAATTTCACTTCCGCTCTTTTATTTTTAATTTTAAAAGAACAAGGGCAAATGGGTGGCTCAGTCAGTTAAGCATCTGCCTTCAACTCAGGTCATGATCCCAGCATCCTGGGGAGAGCTTCTCCCCCTCCCACTCTCCCTGCTTGTGCTCTCTCTCTCTCTTTTTCTGTCAAATGAATAAATAAAATCCTTTTAAAAAAAATAAAAATAAAAATGAATAAAAAATTTAAAAAAGCTATGAATGCACAAATAACTTTTTCAACCAAGTGAAGGAAAGGACATATTAGCTTTTTTTTTTTTTTTAAGATTTTATTTATTTATTTGACAAAGAGAGACACAGCGAGAGAGGGAACACAAGCAGGGGGAGTGGGAGAGGGAGTGGAGCAGGGAGCCCGATGCGGGGCTCGATCCCAGAACCCTGGGATCATGACCTGAGCCGAAGGCAGATGCTTAACGACTGAGCCACCCAGGCGCCCGCTTTTCTTTTTATGCAATGCAAAAACCTATACATTCATGCACATTCCTCCCCCACTTCAGTTAAATAAGACGTCACAGGAGGAGCGTAACGTTGAGTCCAGCACCTGGTAGATAAGGCTTTGGTAAATGTTAACCTGTTTGCTTGCTTTCTTCCCCCACTCCCAGGTTTCCCCGTAAATCCTTCCTTCAGATATTCCAATTACGCCAACTCTTTATTGGTGGAATGACTCTGATCTCACGAATATCAATTTCCATTGTCTCTACTTACCTTGGTAGGATGAAGGATACAACTCTCTATTTAGTCTCATCTTGATGTTGGGGGAAGGGATACCTAGAAGAGGGTATAGTTGGATCAGTAGAAACCAATCATGACTTTGCTACAAACAAGTGATTGATTTATTCCCTGGGCCATGGTTTGTTCTTATTTTAAAGGAATGGAGTATTCTCACTTCTTTTTTGAACGAGTTGGGAAACTGGGGTAAAAAACACTATTTCTACCTTCAAGAGTCTGAAACAGAGGGAAGGAATCCTAGAAGGCTTTGATAAGGTGGATCCTGGAATAATTAGGGACCACTGAAATCAGGAAGAGGGCCAAGATGTTAGTCTAAGCAGAAGGGGCAGCACACCAATGGCCAGACAGTGAGGATGAGGACGGTAGGTTAGAAGTCACTAGGGTTTAGTTTGGCTAAGGAGATGGGGTTTTATCCTGAAGGCTGGAGAGCGTCTTCAAAAGGTTTGAACAAAGCAAGGGAGCAATATAATAGGATTAGTATTTTTAAAAGCTCGTTGTGAGGGGAGGGGAGCATAAGGAAGTTGGCATAAGATAGGCTTTGGCGTGCTAGCCCTCTTTACTGACATAGGCACAGGTTAATGGGTGTGTTTTGTTGAGTAAATTCATTAAGCTACAGACTTACATATGTACTTTTGTATCTGTATATTATACTTTAGTAAAATGTTTCTAAGGGAAAAAATGATTCTTTCATCCGTAAAGGATGAGTTGGGTATTAGGGACCAGGATAAGAGCAGAAGTATCTAATCCAGTTGGAAAGATATTGCTATAAATCACATATGAAACAAAATGCCTGAACTAAAATAGTAGATGTGAGAATGAGATTAAATTAAAATGAAAGGAGAATAGATTCAGAGATAGTTAGGAGGCCAGGCCCTTTCTCCAGGAAGCCTTCCCATGTGCACAAATCCAGGGTAGGTTACATATATGTGCTCCCATATATACATTTTCAGAATCCCATGGGGGCAGGGATCATGTTTCGTTCATAACTCCAACCCTAGCACAGAACCAGGCATGTAGTAGTATTCATCATCTCAATGAATACTTGTTGAATGAAGGAGGGCTCTTAATGTATTGCTGAAATAATCTGTTGGTATCTGTGTTCCCGACTAGAAAGTGTGTAAGTATCAGGAAAAATTGGCTACGTGAATGATTTGCTGTGACATTAAGAAGCCCCTTAAGCTTTCAGGGGTAAATGCGACACATGAATTAGAACCCTGATGACAAGCATCAGAAACTCCATCAAATTAGGCTGCCTCTCATTGGCCCAACCTGGACCAAGTGCTCATTCTTGAAACAATCACTGTTGTCAGGAGATGTGGACTCTCTTGAGATCTTCTTCTGGAGCTACAGGATAGGTTTAGCTAAACCTCAGGGGCTAACAATAGGAGGAGGGTAGTTCCCCAAAGTAAAAAATAAAGTGCTGTTATCTGAAGAGGGAATGGTTGGTGGGCAGTCCAAAACAACATGCCTATTAGCCATACAAAAGGAATTGTTATTCTAAATGAACTCTAAATCACCTCGGAATTTTAGGAATTCAAAAAAAATTTAAGAATTCTAGGATTCTTCTTAATTTGGTTAACAATAAACAAAGTATTTCTTGTATATTTAAAGTCCTCTCAGTTTCCACAGAATATTACACAGGAGGAAGTGGCTTTCAGTTGCAAGCATGAAGACAAGGTCAAGTATAAAGGACTTTTGGCCCCTGAGGATTGCTAAACCACGGTAGAAGAGAGGTCTGCAATTCAAGGCGCATTTTCCCAAGGTGAGTGAGTCATCACCTCCCAGTGTGTCCAAGGATGATCTATTCAGTTCCAGAATTTGATAGCGGATAGAATTCTCTGAGGCCAAGGACAAGGACAACTCTGGTTGCTAAAAGGCTAACTCATTCTTTGCTCTTCCTCTAGGGACAATGGGTCCCTGCCCTAAGAGGAAACCACCCTTAAAAGGATTTTACACCACCCTGGAAGGAGCCCTCCACCCTTTCCCACTCCATAGATAGATGACAAAAACCTGACGGGGTGACAGACGCATGGAGGGTTGATCAGATTAAAACAGCCCACCAACAAGCCCATAAAAAACCCCTAGACTTAGAAACTCCAGTGGCGGGGCGCCTGGGTGGCTCAGTCGGTTAAGCGTCTGCCTTCGGCTCAGGTCATGATCCCAGGGTCCTGGGATCGAGCCCCGCATCGGGCTCCCTGCTCAGTGGGGAGCCTGCTTCTCCCTCTCCCTCTGCTGCTCCCCCTGCTTGTGCACTCACTCACTCTCTCTCTCTCAATGTCAAACAAATAAAATAAAACCCTTTTTTTTTTTAAAGATTTTATTTATTTATTTGAGAGAGAGAGAATGAGAGAGAGCACATGAGAGGGGGGAGGGTCAGAGGGAGAAGCAGACTCCCTGCTGAGCAGGGAGCCTGATGCGGGACTCGATCCCAGGACTCCAGGATCATGACCCGAGCCGAAGGCAGTCGCTTAACCAACTGAGCCACCCAGGCGCCCTAAAATAAAACCTTTTTAAAAAAATCAATTAATTTAAAAAAAACACCACCAGTGGCAACCCTCTCAAATCCCCTCTCTCTTTGGGAGCTTTCTACTATCACTCAATGAACCTTGCTGCCCACCACTCTGCCTGGTCTACCTCTTCATTCTTCGGAGTGACGTGACCAAGAACCACGGGCACCACAGGAAAAGAAATCCTGTAACAGTTTGCTATTTCCTGGGAAACCCCAGAACACGTTTTGACTGCTTAGGCCTTTCCACCCGCACTCAGCTGCAGCTAGGCTCCCTAAGGCTGCCTTCAAGTGGGTTGCTATTTGTGGTTGGATCTGAGATTTCTGTTGCTGAACATTGACATAAGTATACCTCCCATTTTTTTCCTGGAAGAGACAAAAGGGCAATTCAGAGTCTCTCCCTGGATTATGTACTTACTGGGGAATGGGGAGCAGTCCACAGGCGGGTGTGGTTAGAAAGGCTAACCCGGATGCAAATAGGTGTACCTTTGTCAGGTACAATTTTTCAACTGTGAATAATTGGGCAGTTGAGTGTGGAAACAATTATTAGTTAAAAATTGTAAGAATTATGTAAATTCAGCAACAAGCCACAATTTATGGCTCATTGCCCTGTTCAATCATTGGTAGAAAAATACACCTAACACCAACTTATAAGGTCTTTCCTCTTTATCCAAGTGCAAAACTTTACTGGCCCTGAAAGACATTGTTAGGAATAGTCAGTATGAGAACTTACTGTATTTACTTAAGGCTTTTACTCTTTATGCACTCAAGGTCTTCTTGAACAATTACCTGACTGAAAGGTAGTACAAGGATTTTGGATGTTTAGAAAAAATGTACATAGTGAAATTTTAATTAAAGTCAGAAATATTTATATGATTCTTTAAATATTTGGAGAATTTACCTCTGCATTTTTCTTGTTAAACTACTTCCTCCTAAAATAGAGATTATTTGTAGTCACATGTGAAAGTTACAGAGTGCAAAATTTACACAAAAGAAAATTATTTTGACATGGAAATAAATATGTTAATTTCACAAAGTGCAGTGCCGGGCACATATGAGGTATTTAAAAAGTATTTATTTATTAAATAAATGAATAGGTGAATGAATGAATGAACACCACTCTTAATTTTACATTTCATGAGACACTTATGAAACAATTCCATTTCTACACTCATGAAGATTATGCAAAAGACTTTGGACTCTAGGCACTCCTGACTGGCTCAGTTGGTGGATCGTGTGACTCTTGATCTCAGGGTTGTGAGTTCGAGCCCCAGGTTGGGTGTAGAGAGAACTTAAGAATAAAAATCTTAAAAAAAAAAAAAGATAATTACTAAGATAAATAATACAGCACAAGTATAGGGTAAACATTGTAAGTATCATACTGGCCTCCCCCAATCCTCCTCACATTCACCAGCACTGTCCTTCTACCCCCAACCCAAATCTACTTGGGTCCTTAGTCAAGTGACTTCTGAACCGGGCTTACTGTGGGACCTGCCCCTCATTAGTACTAATGTGTGGCTACACTCAAGGCAACCAGACCCTAACTCGGGACCAGACCTTAACTCAGGGAGGCACCCCAACCCTCAGCAGATGGAGGAAGGACCCACCTTGTCCTGACCCTACTTCTCACACAGCCCCAGGGCACACTTCACGAAAGAAAATGGAGAGAAGATGCATTTTTTTCCTAGAAGTCAGGTAATTATGCCTTGACCAGTCAATTCCCCTCAAGCAGTCCATCAAAATAGAACAGTGGTCAGACTGGGTTCCATCCCACTCATTCCTGTGATTCTACCTCTAAAAAAGGGTTTGAGACTCTTATAATATTAAGAAATACTTGTTGGGTGAAAGTGAACAAAATCAGTGGCCTACAAATAATTTTGGAGAAGTGTGGAAAAGGGAAGGTAAAGTGGATGTTGCTTAGATGGCACGGGAAGAAAAATTCCTGAAGAAGATAGCCAATTTTTTTATTCCGGGTCAAGCTTACTGTGGCCAAATACACCACAGCCTAGAAGTCTCGCATGATGCAGAAGGGTGAAATCTCATCAGTGATGCTGGTTATAATGGGAATGTTTTCAACTGCTCTGAAAGAACCTGTGGTCTGTCCTTAGCAACGTTTAGTGCAATTCCACGAACATTTTGTCTTGGGAGAAAGAGAAAGACAGATGAAGAAACACTACCCCGACTATCTAACCTCACTGCATCACTGGGCTCTGCATAAAAAGGAAAATTCTTTCTTCAGTGAGCTCACTGTGCAAAGACTTTGTTTCCTGGATCACCCAAGACAGCAAGGAAATAGCAGCGACTCTTAAAGTCAGAGAAGAGAGATTAGATGTGAGTGAAAGTGGTAGATGCTGTCTGACCCCCTGTTCACAGAGCCCACCACTCCTAACTTCCATCCCTGAACAGCTGTTTTGCCTCTCAGCTCCCTTGAAGCTCTGCTGGCCCATTTCCCCATCCACAGTTTGAAAAAGAGTGATGGGGATTGTTGTCAGACGATTTTGATATGATGG